TTGTTTTCCAAATTTTTATGTTTACAAATTTAATGGAATTCACAGAAAAATTAAATCTTTGGTTAAGATATTTTGGGTTTAGTTAAGAATCCAAAAGTTAAGCAGTGGTAACAGGTAGTTTTTAATTGTCAGGTTTAATTCTTGGATTTGGGGAATTTGGGATCCATATCTCAAACCTTTGGCAAATAACACCCAAACTTCTTACTAACTCTAGAGGTATGCAAACTTATCAATAGTATCGGGTGCAGTCTTTCATTCAGATCATGCGATTACAGATTTTCTTCCTCTAATCATCTCCTGGAGTATTTGCTAAAGGCGGATTAGTTAAGTCAGGTGTGTAACTGCATGATTGGGATGAATCCTGCCCCCAAACCAGCTCATTCTGGAAACAAACCCTGCTTGATAAAGTACCGTGCTCGTAACCCTCCTAAACCCTGACCCTACCAAACCTAAACATAACCCAAACTTTATTTTGCAATCCCATCAACCCCTTACGGAACCCGATTCCCCGTCCCTAACATTCCAAAACCCTAAAGCTTTGTTGTTGGTTACAAATATTCCCCTCGTTTTATCTCAAAATAAAATGAGTAAAAAGGCAATCTTTGGCCTCAATAACCCCCTCCTTTGCAAAATTTTTCAAAACCCCATTCACTGAAAAGGCGGTTTTTTTAAAGGGGGCTTGATTCTCATTGCGGTTGTCATGCTTAGAAAGAGGCACAGATGTACAAGCTTGCGGGTGTGACACCTCTCCCCCAAAATCAATTTTTGCCCGGGGGATTTAACCAAAACCTTCTGATCTGGAGTCAGGGGCTACCGTTGCCAGAGGTCCCCTGCCCTTTGCTTGGCTGCCTGTAGCATTTCACACTTTTATGATTGACCCGAAATTTAATGGCTATCCGATTAAAAAATTTAAAAAATCTTCTTTTTGGTTTTTTAAAAATCCAACCCTCAGTTACAATTTTAAAAAGCCGATGCTCGTGGTAAAAAGCATCAGATTTTTAATCTGGGGGTCCAGGGTTCAACCCTTTGACGATTTGGGTCGGTTTTCCGCTTGGGGGCCAAATTGAGTCCGGGATGGTTTAGTTTCCCAAATTTACAGTAAAATCATTTCTGGTGCCTTTTTCTGGGGGAGAATTAGTACTCAGCTTAAAAAACATTGCTCCCCATTTCTGCAAAAAAAATCTGGGAAATGAGTTCCAAAGCTAAAAAAATCACCCCATTGGATGTCTCAAATTTTGAGTGGTGAAATAAGTACTGTATTGAAAAAGTTGCTCCCCATTTCAAAAAAAAAGCTTTCTATCTTTTTTGCAATTCTAATGGATTATCTAAGCCATTTTCGTGGTTGAAAACAACCATTCCCCAAAGTCCATCAAAAGACAAATTTACCCTTTGCGTTTTCCCAGCATTTTTATGAATAACCCAAAAGTTTAATGAAAAACATCACAGATGAAAAAGCACTATTCCCTTTTTTGATGACCAAAATCCTTTCTAAACCGGACTTCCCCTTTTAAACCTAACCTCCGCTTGTAATGATATATACGTGGTGACTAACCCCCTAACCAGTCCTACAAACCAAATTACTCAAATTTCATCTCATCTAACTTTACTGAACCCAATTCCTAACCCTGACATCTAACCTAACCCAAAGCTAATTAGTTACAAAATATTACCTTTGCATATTCAAATCAACCAACTAAACTAATCTATGCCCTCATAATCTCCTTCCAAAATTTCCTGTAAACACTCATTATATAAGGCATGTTTCTTCAAGGCTGATTCTCATTATTTTGTCGCTAGAATAGCACATATGTAGCTTTAAGGGCTTGAACCTCTCAAAGACTTCTTGACAGGGTACCCTTTGAAGCGACACTGCTGACTGCTCAGCCAACTACCTTAACCACGCCCAATCCATTCATCGCCAGCTTACAGTTTTGACTACCCTCAATTTTTGGAAATCCAATTAGATTTAAACTTTTTTGATTAGCCAAAATCAATGAACAGTTATAGCAATATTTCAAGCGTTATCATCGTCAGAAGCTAATTATCGAGTAAGGGCTTAAGTCGTTGGGGGGATTTCACTGTTTGGATGCTTGAAACAGCTTGTGCTAGGAGTGATTTACTTCTGAATCTTGCAAATAATTTTAGTGCCGCTATGGCCGGGTAATTCAGTCTCACTTGAAACATTTCTCGCATTTCATGAAATATAAATTGTGGAAGTGATTAAATAAATAAAATCATCATTGGATTGCTAAACTTGAGTTAAAAATCAATATTTAAGTCTCAACTTTATAAAGTTTCTGAGTTATTTTAATTGGTCGGATTTCAAAACAGTTGGTCATATTTGGCAGATTTAGACATTCAACATGTTCAGAAGACAGATTTGCCTAGTATTCAATTTTATAATGAAATTTATGAAAAACAAAGAAAAAAAACATCATTGGTGATAAAGCAATCCAATCTCAACTTGGCCAATTAACTTAATTGGCAAACTCATTCACTTCAATCTCCTTTCATAAGCAAACTTATAGAATTATTACGATGAGTCTTCATTCAGACCATTCATTCAGATTTTCTACTTACATTCCTGGATTTAAATTCTGGTATTTTAAATTAGGTTAGTGCAGATGTTTAAAAACCTACCCAGAGATCAAACCATTCGTGACCTTGATAAACCTAACCTAGCAAACGTAACCCCTAACCTAACCCTACTAAACCTGACCAGTAATCCAAACTTTAGAAGATCTAATCTTATTGAATCATTCTCCATTACATTCCTAACCCTACAATACATAATTGTGTTAAGCATATTGCTTGTAATTATTCAATAATAGAAAGACAGAATCTTGTGGCCTCAATAATCCCCTCCTTTGCATACTTTGCAAACGCTCAATTCACTGACAGGACCGGTTTCTCAAAGGGGCTTGATTCTATTGTTGCATCATGCTTGAAAGGCACATGATGTACAAGTTGCTGGTGTGACACCCCATCTAAAATCAGCTTCTACTTGATCCCGTGATTTGAATAAAATTCGATCTGGAGTCAGAGCCTTACCTCATAACCAGTCCCTTGCCCATTTCTTTAGCTGCCTGTAGCATTTCACAGCATTTTATGGTTCACGAAATTTAATGCAAATATCACAGATTAGAATTAAATCTTCTGTTTTGGCTGTTTAACAAACCTTAACAGTCAACTCAAAGCGGATGCTCAGTGTAGGCATCAGACTTTTAACTGGCCAGGGTTCAAGTCCTGTTAGGCGGTGAGATTTTCACGGATTTAGGTTAACAATTAAACAAATTAGTACTAAAGTTTCTCTTCGATTTTACAACAATCATTCAGTACGAGATTTCAGCGGGAAATAGTTTAGCTGAAAAAATTTATCGACGGGTCCAAAAAAAATAAACGTGGGAAGGTGGTGCTAAACAGTAAAAAGTCCAAATAGGTGTTGCCAAATTTGCTGTAATCAAATCTTCTTGAAATTGCTCTCTATTTTGAAAAAATTCTAGTGCATATTTTGCAATTCTAATGATTATAAAGTCTCGATGAGCAACTAACACTTGCGCAAATCCTAGAAGACAAATTTGACTTGTCTATTTACATTTTTATAAATGCAAGTAATAAATTTACAGATTAAAATCATATTCACTATGGATTAAACATTCAATTTCATACTTTGCAACTTACCAGTTCAAAGACTTATCCTTCCTAATCTACAAGTGACAAACTTTCATAAAACTGCAGTCAGTCTTTCTTCAATCGCACTTAAATTCCTTCTCCAATCACTCCTGATATTTGTAAAGCACCTATCAAGTCAGGTGACTGATGGTAAACCTCAGACAGCAGTCATTTTCTGTAACATACCCTGATAGTACGAATCCTATAGTCAACTCTGAACCTGACCCATCAAACCCTAACAACCAACTTTGGATGCAATCCTACCGCCTTACAGAACCATTCGTAACCATACCTCCTTACCTGCCCAAAACTAAATTTAGTTGCAAAATTCCTCAATATCTCCAAATAAACTATAAATACATCCTTAGCCCCAATAACCATCCTTTAATGCTTTGAATATGCTATTGACAAGACCCAGTCTCTTATAAGGGCTAATTAAATGTTAGAGATGCTTGAAAAGGCACAGTTCAAGCTTGTGTGAAGCCTCATTCCTAATGAGGTCGCTACCGCGCATTTGAGTCCATCTTCTGATTGAGCTGCGTACATTCGCGAGTCCTCCATTATGGCTCCTACCTCAGATTTAAATACTCTTTGATTTGGCAAATCAAGATTAGTTAAACTTTCTGTTCGAGTTTTAGCCAATGTCATTGAGATTAACATTTCATGAGAACCGGTTAAATCTGTAGTAGCTATCTGAGGTCGGGTTCAAGTCCTGTTGAGGCGTGATTTCAGGATGTTGCGCAGTAAAAAATTAGTGCCAGAGGTTTTGTCAAATTCAGTCCAATCATTTAATTGCCTTCTTTGAGGAAAATTAGGTTGATTGAAAAGTTATCCCATTTCAAGAAAACTCAATTGCTGGGAAGGAGTTCAAGAAAATCAAAGTAACTGATGTGGATGTAACTTCTGATTTGAAATTAGTCTGATTTGCAAGTTCTCTCATTTCATGAAAGCTTTTAGTCATTTTTTGCAATTCTAATGGATTATCTAAGCCAGTTTGCGTGGTTTGCAGACACACAACCATTGCAAAAGTCCATCAGAAGCAAATTTATGCCTTGCTGCTTTCAGCATTTTTATGAATGAACCAAAGTTTAATGAAAAACATCACAGATGAAAAAAGCACTTTTCCCACTTTGGCTGATAGACCAGAATCCATATCTCAAACCTTTGGCCAACATTAAACACCTTTCAAACCTAACCTCCTTCACCTAACTCTAGCCCAAGGGTATGCAAACTTATCCAGAATGAGTGACTGCGGGTGCAGTCTTTCATTCAGATCATGCAGTTACAGATTTTCTTCCTCTAATCATCTCCTGGAGTATTTGCTAAAGGCCCGGATAGCTCAGTCGGTAGAGCATCAGACTTTTAACCCTGAGGGTCCAGGGTTCAGAACTTCTGAGTGTGTGAAATAGAATTACTGTACTTTGACAAAGATTGCTCTCTCTTTTTCATAAAAAGCTTTCTGAGTCATTATTTTGCAATTCTAATGGATTATCTAAGCCAGTTTGCGTAGTTTGCAGACACACAACCATTGCGCCAAAGTCCATCAGAAGACAAAATTTATGCCTTGTGCGATTTCAGCATTTTTATGAATGAACCAAAGTTTAATGAAAAACATCACAGATGAAAAAAGCACTTTTCCCACTTTGGCTGATAGACCAGAATCCATATCTCAAACCTTTGGCCAACATTAAACACCTTTCAAACCTAACCTCCTTCACCCTAACTCTAGCCCAGGGATGCAAACTTATCAGAATGAGTGACTGCGGGTGCAGTCTTTCATTCGAATCATCAGTTACAGATTTTCTTCCTCTAATCATCTCCTGGAGTATTTGCTAAAAGCGCGGATTAGTTAAGTCAGGTGTGTAACTGCTATGATTGAGATAATCCTGCACCACAGCAGCTCATTCTGGATAGGCGAATACCCCTGCTTGATAGGCAGTACCGTGCAAAGCGTAACCCTCCTGAACCTGACCCTACCAAACCTAAACATAACTCCAAACTTTAGTTGCAATCCCATCAACTCCTTACTGGAACCCGATTACCGCTAACCTAACATTCCATAACCTGGCCCAAGCATAATGTTGTTGGTTCACAAAATATTCTCCTCTTGTTATTATCTCAAAATAAAAATGAGTAAGAAGGCAATCTTGTGAGCCTCAATAATCCCACTCCTTTGCAATAACTTTTAGCTAAAAGACAGCTCATTCACTGACAAGGACGGTTTCTTAAAGGGCTGATTCTCATTGCTTGGTATGTCATGCTTGAAAAGAGGCACATGATGTACAAGCTTGCTGGTGTGACAGCCTCTGCTCAAAATCAGCATTCTACTGACCTCGGCGTGATTTGAACCGCACCTTCTGATCTGGAGTCAGGCGCGCTACCGTTCGCCACGAGGTCCCCGTGCCCATTTAGCTGTGGCTGCCTGTAGCATTTCACAGCATTTTATGATTGACCACGAAATTTAATGGCAAATATCACAGATTAGAAGAATTAAAAATCTTCTGTTTTGGATGTTTAACCAAAATGCCAATCATACGAGTTACAGCAGCTTGAAGCCGGATAAGCTCAGTCGGTGAGCATCAGACTTTTAATCTGGGTCAGGGTTCAAGTCCCTATTAGGCGAGTGTGATTTTCCACGGATGTTGCAGCATAGTGAAACAAATTGAGTGCCAGGAGTAGTTTAGCTTCTCAATTCTACAGTCAAATCATTTCTAAGTGCCTGTACTTCTGAGCGGGAGAAATTAGTACTCAGCTTGAAAAACATTGCTCTCCCATTTCATGCAAAAATAAATGCATTGGGAAAGGTGAGGTTCCACAAGACAAATCAAAAGTCACTCCATGTGGATGTGCTCAAACTTCTGAGTGTGTGAAATAGAGTACTGTACTTGTCAAGATTGCTCTCTCATTTCATAAAAAAGCTTTCTGAGTCATTATTTTGCAATTCTAATGGATTATCTAAGCCAGTTTGCGTAGTTTGCAGACACACAACCATTGCGCAAAAGTCCATCAGAAGACAAAATTTATGCCTTGTGCGATTTCAGCATTTTTATGAATAGACCAAAAGTTTAATGAAAAACATCACAGATGAAAAAAAGCACTATTCACTTTGGCTGATAGACCAGAATCCATATCTCAAACCTTTGGCCAACATTAAACACCTTTCAAACCTAACCTCCTTCACCCTAACTCTGGCCCAAGGAAGTGCAAACTTATCCAGAATGAGTGACTGCTGGGTGCAGTCTTTCATTCAGATCATGCAGTTACAGATTTTCTTCCTCTAATCATCTCCTGGAGTATTTGCTAAAGGCGGATTAGTTAAGTCAGGTGTGTAACTGCATGATTGGGATAATCCTGAAAAGCACCCATTCTGGATAAGCAATACCCTGTTGAAAAAGGGTCCCGTGTGGCGTAACCCTCCTGAACCTGCCCTCAAAACCTAAACATAACCCAAACTTTTTTGCAATCCCATCAACTCCTTACGGAACCCGATTCCCCTAACCTAACATTCCATAACCCTGGCCCCAAACATAATTTTTTGTTGGTTCACAAAATATTCTCCTCTTGTTTTTTTCCTAAATAGTAGAAGGAATTTTTGACCTCAATAACCCCCTCCCAATAACTTTTGCAAAAACAGCCATTCACTGACAAAGCCAGTTTCTAAAGGCTTGATTCTCATTTTTGGTATGTCATGCTTGAAAGAGGCACATGATGACAAGCTTGCGGGTTGACACCTCTGCTCTCACATTCTCGCCCGGCGTGATTTAAAACCAAAACTTCATCGGGAGTCAGGGGCTACCTTTTTAAAAGGTCCCCCCCCCTTTTACTTGGCTCCTTCTTTCACAGCATTTTTATGTTTGCCCGAAATTTAATGGCAAATATCAAAATTTTAAAAAAAATTTAAAAAAATCTTCTTTTTTTGGTGTTTGAAAATCCAATCCCCCAGTTACACATTTTTAAAGCCGGATAGCTCAGTGGTAGAGCATCAGACTTTTAATCTGAGGTCAGGGTTCAAGTCCTTTGGGCGAGTGGATTTTCCCCGGATTTGGCTGGGAAAAAATGGTGGGGGTAGGTTTAGCTTCTCAATTCTACAGTCAAATCATTTCTAATGCCTGTATTCTGGGGGAAATTATTTCCCCTTGCTCCCCATTTCATGCAAAAAAAAAATCGTGGGAAAGGTGAGTTCCAAAGACAAATCAAAAGTACTCCATTGGATGTCTCAAATTTATTGAAATAAGTCTGTCTTGCAAAGTTCTCTCCTTTTTATAAAAATTTTTAGTCATTATTTTTCAATTTAAGGTTTTAAACCTTTTAAAGGGGAGACCAAAAACCCCCCAAGAAAAAAAAAAATTTTTTTTGCATTTTTCATTTTTTTGAAAACCAAAAATTAAAGAAAAAAACATAAAAAACAAAAATTTTTTCCCATAACCTATATCTCAAAATTTAAAATTAACACCCTTTTAAAAACCCCTTTCCCCTTTCCCAAAAGGGGAAAAACGAATATGCGGGGGTTTTTTTTACGATCCCTGTTAAATTTTTTTTTAAACCCTGGGGGTTTTTCGGGAAAAAGGGGGTTTTTTTTGGGGGTTTTTGAAAACCCGCCCCCGGTAAGGAAAAACCCCCCCTTTAAGAACGTCCCTGCCGCTAACCCCCCCTTGAACAAAATAAACAAACCCCAATTTTTAAAAAAAACTCCCTTTGGGCCCCCCTTACCCAAAACCAACATTTAACCCCTGGCCCCCCCGCTATTTGTTGGCAAAAATTTTCCCTTTGTTATTTTAAAAAAAGGTAGGGAAATTTTCCCCCAAAAATCCCCCTTTTTAAAAATTTTTTGCCAAAAAAAAGGGTCATTCACGAAAACTTTTTAAAAGGGGTTGATTTCAGGGGGTATTCCTTAAAAGGGCCTATTACAATTTGGTTGGGAAATTGTCAAAACATTTTAAACCCCCCGGGGGATTTGCCCCCTTCTGAGGGGAGGAGGCTACCCCTTGCCCCCAAAGGGCCCCTCCCATTTTTGGGGTCCCGAGCATTTTTCCCCTTTTTATGATTGAAACCGGGTTTTAAAACCCCCAAATTAGAAAAAAAAAAAATTTTTTGCAATTTCGGATTATAAGCCAGTTTAACGTGGTTTACGAACCACTATACATTGCGCTTAAAAATTCATCGAAGGCAGAATTTATGCAGCAATAACGATTTCAACATTTTTCTGGAATGAACCAAAAGTTTAATGAAAAACATATCACCGAATAGAAAAAGCACTATTCACTTTGGCTGATAGACCAGTCCATATCACAAACCTTTGGCCAACATTAAACACCTTTTCAAACCTAACCTCCTTCACCCTAACTCTAGCCCAGCGGTATGCAAACTTATCCAGAATGAGTGACTGCAGATTTTGATCTTTTGTTGAATCTATTTGAGATTTACAGATTTTTCTTCCTCTATTAATCCATCTCCTGGAGTATTTGCTAAAGGCAGCGGATTAGTTAAGTCAGGTGTGTAACTGCATGATTAGGATGTGAAATCCTGCCCCACAACTTGTCATTCTGGATAGGCGAGTACCCCTGCTTGATAGAAGCGGCTGCACGTGCCTGGCGTAACCCTCTGAACCTGACCCTACCAAAACCTAAACATAACTCAAGCTTTAGTTGCAATCCCATCAACTCCTTACTGTAACTTGATTGCCGTAACTCTAACATTCCATAACCTGGCCCCAAGCATAATGTTGTTGGTTCACAAAATATTCTCCTCTTGTTATTATCTCAAAATAAAATGAGTAGAAAGGAAAACTTAATCTTGTGAAGCCTCAATAATCCTCCTTTACCCAATAACTTTATACATAAAGCAGCTCATTCACTGACAAGGGCGGTTTCTAAAGGGCTTGATTCTCATTGCTTCAGTATGTCATGTAGAAGAGGCATGATGTACAAAGCTTGCTGGTGTGACAGCCTCTGCTCAAAATCCATTCTCTGACCCAGCGTGATTTGGTACGCCTTCTGATCTGGAGTCGGGCTACCATTGCATACGAGGTCCCGATGCCATTGTATGGCTGCCTGCGCATTCACAGCATTTTGCAGTTGACACGAAGAATTTAATGGCAAATATCTCATAGATTAGAGAATTAAAAAATCTTCTGTTTTTGGATGTTTTAACGAAATGCCAAATCATACGAGAGTTACAGCAACTTTACGACCCGGATAGCTCAGTGGGTAGAGCATCAGACTTTTAATCCTGAGGGTCCAAGCGTTCAGAATCCCCTGTTAGGGCAAATGTGATTTTCCGGATGTTCGCGCATTGTGAAACAAATTGAGTGCCAAGGTAGGTTTAAGCTTCTCAATTCTACAGTCAAATCTTTTCTAAGTGCCTGTATTTGGGGGGAGGGGATCCTTAAAAAATTTTCCCCCTT